TTTAAAGTTTTTAATTTTTTTTTTTTTTTTTAAAAAAAAAATTTTTTTTTTTATTTATTGGTTTTTTTTTTTTTTTTCCCTTTTTTTTTCCTTTTTTTTTTCTCTTTTTTTTTTTTTTTTTTTTTTTTTTTTCATTTCATTTTATTTTTTTTTTTTATTTTATATTTTAATTTTTTTTTTCTAAAAAAAAAATAATTTCTTCAGCCCGTCCCCTCCTTTCCTAAAAAAAAAATCTACAACTCTTTCCATATATATATTTTTTTTCAAATAATATATATATAACTTATTTTTTTTCAAAAATAATCAAGAATTTTCTTTCTTTTAAACATCCTTTCTTATACAAATTCAAAAAAAAAAATCAGTTATAACAAAGAATAAATATGGGTATCAAACAATCAAAACATAATTCTACCACCATTGTAAGCAATATAAAAGACAAACCCGATGTATTATTGAAAACAGAAAAACGAAAAAAGTTTCGCTCTTGGCGTTCATCTGGTATAACAGATGTGAATTCCTTAGAAAGTTGGAGATTTTCACACGGTGGCAAAAGAATTCACAATTTAAAAAGCACAAAATTGATAGGTCCTATCATCGATGAAGAGGTAGAAAGGTTACAGAGGCAACATCGATTGTTTAAACGAATTTGGCAGAATAATTATTCCGCACCCATAGAAGAAAAATTAAAAGATGGTGGCGCAAGAGTACTTGATGTAGGGTAAATATCGCGAATTCTTTCCAGTGAACTCTTTCTTTTAATCTGTCGAGGAAACGTATTCTCATTCGAACGATTCTTTCACTTTCAATTCTTATCAGATGTGGACCAGGAACTTGGACAATCGAAATGGCTGAATCATACCCAAAGACATTATTCACGGGCGTTGATTTTGCTCCCATATTCCCACAGGAAAAGAAGCCCGAGAATGCAAAATTCCTCCAAGCCAATATACTTGACGGATTACCATTCCTGGATGATACCTTTGATTTCGTTCACATGAGACTTTTGGTGACGGCCTTTTCGTCTAAAGAATGGGAGGAAAAGATTATCCCAGAGTTGGTTCGAGTCACACGACAGGGTGGATGGGTAGAATTCATGGAAAGTGATATTCAATACTACAATGATGGCCCAATAACACAGCGTTTAACGAATGCCTGTACGTTTCTTTCATTCTATTATTTCTCTCTTGTTTATTTGATGTTTACGAAAAAAAAAAAAACTAACATGCGTTTGTTTCTGGCGCAGTAATGACGTTCATGAAAGCTAAAGGAATCTTTCAACCAATCAATTCCCATATTCCCGACTCGATGGAAGCCAACGATAAATTCGTATCAGGGATTAAAGTTGAAGAAAAAGCATGTTTTGTGGGAAAATGGGCCGGCGAATTAGGTCAACTGGTATGTGGAAAATTTGTGTCACGTGCATGAAAACGTTCTCTTAAAGCGTCACGTATTATAATACTTAACAAATTTATCCCTTTAGGCTGTTGATGACATTACGAAAGGGTGGAATGCAGTCAGGCTACCCATGTCAATAGTGATGGGTACAAAGGCTAATGAATATGATGAAATTATACAAACTTTTGCCAAGGAGGTTGAGCAACACAAGACATATTTCAAGACTTGGAGATTTTTTGGGCAAAAAGTTACAACTAATTCATCATTTGCGATATCCACACCATCATGGGCACAATCAGTAAATAACGAATAATCGTTTGATCTTGATTTTTTTTTTTCTAAAAAAAAAAAATAAAAAAAAAATTTTTTTTTTTATTATACATACCATACATATTATATATACAAGTAATGATAATAATATATTCAATATTTAGTATTAGGTTATTCCTTTTTTTCCTTTTGTATTTTTTTTTTTAATTGTAAATTATTTATTTATTTCGTCGATTTGGTGAGGTTGAGAGAAATATTTTTAAGGGAGAATTTTATTACGTTATTTTTTTTTTTTTTTTTTTTTTAAGAAAAAAAAGAAAATTCTATTAATTAATTACACGAAAAATTATTTTTAATCAGCAATTTTCGTATCAAATATTTTTTTAGTAATTTCCCTTTTTTGCAAAGAAATTCTTAATGTTGCTCTTTGCATAAAAGAACCCGAAAGTGCTTCATTGTTTTCTTGTCCAAACAGGACAGACATTGGATTTTTAACAATAACAATTATTAAGTAGTTATTTAAAAGAAAACATTTATATATATATATATTAGATTATGCACTATAAGTTAACTTCTTAAACATTCTTTAATTCTTTTATTCTTTTTTTTTTTTTTTTTAATCTATACTTATTTATCCTATTTTTCTCACAACTCCGTACTTCTTTTTTTCGGGACCTATTTATCACTTCATCCTTTAAAAAAAAAAGTATCTCCATCTCAATCTCATCATATATTATAACCATTTCAAAGAAAGAAAAAAAAAAAAAGATTTCCCACTTTATCATCTATAATATATATATCTTTTGCATTTTAAATGTACTATATAATAAAATTCATTAATTCATACAAATCTTACATTGGTTCTTTTTCTCATTTTAAAAAAAATTGTTTATTTTTTTTGGCTGAACAGTATTCTGGTTTTTTGTTTTTTTTTTTATGCGATTATCCGTTTTGTTTATTTTTTTTTTTTCAGGTAATCCTCCCGAAATGCTCTATTGTGATATTAAACATGTTTAGAATATAATGAAATAGTATTGGGGAATTGGGGTTCATTGTCAACTTTACTTTACAAAATAATAATACAAATACCAAATTTGAATTCGAGGCGTTTTTTTTTTTCAATTTGTCAAATTTGTAAATAAATAACAGATATGTGCATACTGGTTTACATGTTTGTTTTTCGCGTTCTATTATTTAAATTACCAAAAGGAGACCATACTCATTTTTAGGATCATAACGAATTATGAATTGAATTACGCAGATTATCGGGCCGATTATCCAAATTGGAATATCCGTTTTCCGCGAAAAGTAAATAAATACTATAAATCATTCCCGGTTATTATTTTTTTTTTCCCTTTTATATTTCGCGAAATCTTATAATAATTTCAATCTTATCACGTGTGTGAATCATTTTTTAGCTACTCAAATCTGGATGATTTATTATGTTGAATGCTTTACCCATTAAACACCTGGATATACTCCAACTTGATCCCATCTCAAGATATGATTAATGCTTGATTCATTTAAAGGCCGGACTTCCCCATCATAACTTATTCTTAAAACACTGAACCTAAGTGGAAGAGGATTGGCTAAAATTGCTTCTCGTGTTACACGGGAAATAAAGTTACAAGTTCTGTTAATTGACACTTTCGCTGGTTCACAATATTTAAAAGCCTTTAAATTCGGAAAAAAAATTTAGGTAAGTAATCCTCATCCTATTCTTTTTTTTTTTTAAAAAAAAAGGAAGGCAACAAGTATCATAATGACGCGACTCATACCTGAAATGCGTGAAACATTTCATCAAATACTTCAAGTGTAACTTCGGTTTGAGATTTAAAATGCGAATTATCAAAGTCAGTTTCGTAAGCTGGTAAACGATATTTTTCTGGATTAGAAGCTCGATAAGAAAGGTAAATTGCTTCATCACGATATCGCTCTACATTTCCCGTTTCCTAAAGAAAAAGATTAATACAAAATTCCTTTTTGGTTCGTATAAAAAAGCTCACTTTATGAACTTACAATTAACATCGGAGGTAAACCACCAAGAGATTCAGCTAAAACAGGACTAACATATGGGATAGCAAGCCCTTCATTTACCACATATAGGTTAATGGGCTGTCCAATTCTCTTTAAAGACTCATCACCAATTAGTTTGATTTCGGATTGTTGGATCTTTCTTGTAATGGTTTCTGCTCTCTGTTTAAATTCACTTAACGCAATTGAAGGTCTATTTGCAAATACGTTTCCCAGTCTTCGTGGTACATAATCTATCTCATCCAACATTTGATCAGAATATGATGGCATACTATGTGTTTGGTCTACCCATGGACTCTAGAATTTATTAAAAAAAAAAGGAATCTAAAAAAAAAAAATTATTTATTAAAAAAGATTGTCTTGTAGATAAAAAGCTTACCCATAAAGCTATACCAGCTGGTAGTGATAATCCCAAGTCGCGTAATGCTAATCCTAATGATAGTGATAATCCGCCCCCAGCGCTACTCCCAAGCAAGACTATCTGTTCTGGCTTATACGGTTTAAATCTAGTATCATTGGGTGGATTTTTTAGATATAAGTAAGCTGCTAGAGCATCACATAACGCTGCGGGAAAGGGTTGTTGTGGTGCCAGTCGATATTCAATTGCTAATATACGAGCGCCAGATATTTTCGATATCTCGCAAAGGATTTCACGACTAGAATCAATATTTCCACAACAGTAACCTCCACCATGTAAGAATATGACAATTTTTTCTTTTTCCCAACTACCTTCTTCATTATTAAAATTCCAATCTTTATTCATAATTAATTCACCATTTATTCCATTATTTCTGGGAGATTTCCAAATCGGATCAATAGCAACTTCGTAAGGTTTTACAAGTCTTTCAATGTATGCCTGAGCATTAATTCTATATTCATGTGAAATAATTACTTTATCAATTTTAACATGAGAGGGGATGTCCTCATTTCTATTACTCTGTTGTAACTCTTCAATTGTTCCAGAATACGAACAAAAAAGTGATCGAAGTAATTCTATTGATAAATAAAGTTTTAAATTCCATGATGGTTGTGGGGGTCCGCTTGTAAAATATTTAAATATTGTCGAAATTATTAATGAGATATGTCTTAAAAACTTCAATGAATCCATTTATTTATACAGAATAAAATTTTCCAGTTTGAAAAATTCTAAATATTCTTTTTTTTTCCCGCCAAAAAAAAAACTCATTGATAATCACATGGTCATTAAACAAGTAACACAAAAGTAACACGAACAACATCAATCTTTTTAATTTAATAATACAAAATAAAAGTTATTAAACAATTTAGAATGATTTGAATTATTTTAATTACTAATGTTTATAATTTATTATATACAGCATTCCAATATTATAATATTTTTAAGATTTTTATAAGATTTATAAATTTGTTTAATTTAAAAATGAATATTCTTATTATAAAATAATATTATCTATATAGATTTCATAGTTTAATCAAAATACAATTAACTTAAATAAATTCTAATTAATAAATTCTAATTTTTATTTAAATATAACTATTATTTTTAAATTTTTCACATATTAAATTAAAATTTTTTTTTAAAAATATTAATAAAATATAAAATTATTAAATTAAATTTATAATTAATTTTAAGAAATTATAATATATACTGTATTCCTTCAAAAATAAGCAATTCTGAAAATAAGCAATTCCAAATTAATTTAATAAGTACTTAATTAAATTAAATAAATAAATTTTATAAATTTAGAAAAATTTTATTTTTAATATTTTAATATCCAAATCATGTTAAACATGATCTTTGATATTATTTTAAATATTATCTTCAATATCATCATTAATATTATTATTACTATTAATGTTATTATCATTATTAATATTGTTTTAATCAAAGATCTCTAAATCAAAATTCAAATTGATCGATATTTCACAAGTTTTAAAGGATTCTATAATAATTTCATTAGAAATTCTTTTTAAGACTTTTTAACTTATGAATATATATTATTAAATCTAGTATAGTAAAAGTTTCTCAAAGCAGTTTCTCTATGATCACTATTAGCCATCTAAATATACCATTCTTTATGAAGATTATTCTTAAATAATTTATTTATTGCAATATTCAGTAACTAAAAAATGCTAATCAATTCATCTAAAATTACTGCAAGATCAAAGTCAATTTTATGAAACTTTCTTTTTATTAAATATTTCAAATGACTTTTAAATGAATTATATACAATTATTACTAAATGTCCTTAAGACCTGTTGTTATTCTTATATTTTTAAAATAATCTATATATTTTATCTAGAATTCTGAATGAGTCAAGTCGAGTTAAATTTAAGGATCAACTTTATTCAACTCATTTTTTTCGAGTCAAGTCAAGTCAAATTTATTTTATAAAATTTTTCAACTTGACTTGATTCGAGTTATATAAATTTTAAACTCAACTCAATTTGAC